TGTTGAGGTGGGCCTGTAGGGTTGGGTGGGTTTTTGGGGGGAATTTTGGGGCTGGGAAAGTACTGCTAGCAAGTTAGATAGAGATTGACAGTACTGTCTTCTACCAGTGTTGGGCTAGCTAGGCTGAGGTGGGCCAAAAATAATGATATGCATTAGCAATTCCATACTGATCCCTGCCCCTCTAGCACATACCCTAAAGTTAGTCAAAAATTTCCTTCATGTAGAGTCCAGGTGCTTTTTTTTTTTTTTTTTTAAAGACTTTATTCATTCACTTGAGAGAGAGAGAGAGAGAGAGTACAAGCAGGGGGAGAGGCAGAGGGAGAGGGAAAAGCAGACACCCTTTTGAGCTGGGAGCCTGGCATGGGGCTTGATTCCAGGACCTAGAGATCATGGCCTGAGCCAAAGACAGACACTTAACCATCCACCACCCAGGTGCCCCAGCCCAGGTGCTTTTTGAGTGCTTGCCCCTCTGCTGGGTGTTAGAGCAAATGTTATAGTGTGCTGGTTCTTTAAGAGTGAAGTCTCAGTTCCATAGCCCTCTGGTTCTTCTGGAGTCAGGCTCATTTTCAAAGCTACTTTAGTTAAGCCCTGCTAATTTTCAAAGCTAGACATTATGTGGGCATGTCCTCCCAGCACAGTTCTCCAGGGTGGGGAACATACCTAATGGGGGGGCTTGGTCCTCTTGCTCCTCAGGGACAACCTCTACACTTTTGATATCCCACTTGCTTATGGGTCACTACACCAGGGTTTTGATTCCCAGCCACATCTCTGGCCCTCCTAACCCCCACCCCCACTTTTTTTTTTTTTTTTAAGATTTTATTTATTTATTTGACAGAGATCACAAGTAAGCAGAGAGACAGAGAGGAAGGGAAGCAGGCTCCCTGCTGAGCAGAGAGCCTGATGCGGGGCTCGATCCCAGGACCCTGAGATCATGACCTGAGCCAAAGGCAGAGGCTTTAACCCACTGAACCACCCAGGCACCTCCTCCTACCCCTCTTGATGTGTTTTTTTCTTTACATCTTTAGCTGTGGAAGAGCTAGTCTGTTAGTCTTTAGGTCATTTTCAGATTCAGTTACACTATATGTAGTTGCAGCCTTGATGTATTCATGGAAGGAGGTGAGTTCAGGATTCTCCTACTTAACCATCTTCCCAAATTCTCCAAAATGTGAGTTTTTTAAAGAATTGTGTTTTAATTCCCATGAATTTTTAAAAAAGCAAACTGATGTTATTTGACTAAGATTCTACTTCTAGGTTATTGAAATTTAGAAAAATCTTGGTACTTCTGAAATTTAGCTTTTCTTTGGCATTATTTTAAGGAGATAACCAATCTCAGTGTACTTCTATCAGAGCAGAGCCTTCAAGGTCATATAATAAGGTAAACCTGTATGTTACATACATACATATATATATGTATATTTTATATTTTATGTATACTTATATATAATTAGATATATAATTTGAATTTATATATGTGTGTGTGTGTGTGTGTGTATATATATATATATATTTTTTTTTAAGTAGGTTTCATGCTGAGCTCATGACCCTGAGATGAAGACCTGAGCTGTGATCAAGAATTAGACACTTAATTGACTGAGCCACCTAGGTACCCTGTTATATGCATTTTTTTTTAAAGATTTTATTTATTTATTTGACAGACAGTGATCACAAGTAGGCAGAGAGGCAGGCAGAGAGAGAGAGAGGGAGAAGCAGGCTTCCTGCTGAGTGAGAGCCCGATGCGGGGCTCGATCCCAGGACCCTGGGATCATGACCTGAGCCGAAGGCAGAGGCTTTAACCCACTGAGCCACCCAGGCCCCACATGTTATATGCATATTTAAAAAATTTTGATAAAATACATATAAACATAAAATTTATCATCTTAATCAGTTTGAAGTGTACAGTTCAGTAGTGTTAGTATATTCACATTGTTGTGAATAATGCTTCTATAAATATGGGTATATAAATATTTGAATCCCTACTTTATATTCTTTTGGCTATATGCCAGAAGTGAAATTGCTGGATTGCAATTTTATTTTTAATTCTTTGAGGAACCACTGTGTGTTTTCCATAGCAGCTGTAGCATTTTATATTACAATCAAGAGTTCACAGGGTTCCAGTTTTCTGTATCCTTGCTGACATGTTTTTCTTTTTTTCTTTTTTAGTAATAGCCATTCTAATGTGGTTAAGTGGTATCTCATCCCTAGTTTTGATTTGCATCTCCCTAATAATTAATGATGTTGCCTATCTTTATGTGATTACTGGCCATTTATATATTACCTTTGGAGAAATGTCTCTTCAAGTTCTTTGCCCATTTTTAATAGGGCTATTTGTTTTTGTGGTTGTTATAGGAGTTCTTACCAGATACATGATTTGTAAATATTTTCTCCAATCCTGTAGGTTACTTTCTCACTCTGTTGATAGTATCTTTTGAGTCACAGAGTTTTAAATACTGATATTGTTCAGTTTAATCTATTTTTACCTTTGTTGTCTGTACTTTTGGTGTCATATCCAAGAAATCACTGCCAAATCCAATGTAATGAACTTTGTCCCCATATTTCCTTCTAAGAGTTTTATTATATAAATTAAGTCTTAATGTTCAGGTCTTCAATCCATTTTGAGTAAAATTTTTTGTCTGGTGGCAAGATAAGGTTCAACCTCATTCATTGGCATGTGGATATCCCATTTTCCCAGCCCATTTGTTGAAAAGATTGTTCTTTTTCCCATTGAATGGTCATAGTACTCTTGTTGAAAATCAAAATCATTTGATTACATATGTGAGGGTTTATTTGTGGGCTTACCATTCTATTCCATTGGTCTGTGTGTCTGTTTTTATATACTTTAAAAAATACAATTAATAAAGTTTTAGAATATGGTATTACTTATAAATTTGATAATTCTTATTTTTACTATTGTATAGATATTCAGAAAAAAAGTATAATATTAGTTAGGGTTATTTGGCTTTTTAATGAACCCAAACCATTAAGAGATAGGTATTATAAACAGTATATTCCAGTAAAAGGCACAGTGTCAGAGCTAATATGAGTTAATATGGAAATTATTTGAGATCTGAGAATTTTGAAGAATAGAAAATCTTATAGATCCATTCCTGAGTGAGAAACTGAACCTCTCAGTGCACAGGTGCTACCTGGTTGTCCTTGTCTGTGCCATTATTTTCACTTTAGAGCTGTGGTGGTAGCAGATCAGGAAGATTAACTTATTGGAATAATTAATTAGTAAACATCCTCGGGTTCACAGCATTGGGAAAACACAACATTTATAGATGGATGTTGTCAAGGATCTCTTGTATAATATATTCTTTTACTGTCTAGACTTGGTTTTATATATATTTAATTTTTCCAGAGGCATGTGAAGGGGGGGGGATGGGCAATTTATCTAAGAATTAAAATTGTTTAGTTTTCATTTAGGTAACTGGGAAACTTAACATCATTATAATTATGTAGGACAAAATAGTTGTATTTATATGTATATTTTATCTTAATGTCTCATTTAAATTTTCACTTTTTTTGCATTGACTATATCTATTTAGCATAGACTATATCTTCTCAAATAGGACCTAGAAATAAAACTGAACTTTTCTACCAGTCTCTCACATCGTTGTAGAAGACAGTGGTGAAATGAATAAAAGGATATGATAGATCAGGAAATGTGGTTTATATTTTTGGTTAATGACTATTTATTAGAAAATCTGGAGAAAATGTTTGCAACCTTGAAAGAACTGTATCTTTTCTCAATACCATTTTTTCTTTAAAAACATTAGTTAACTTTTGATTATTGTGATAAAGAAGGATGGGAATAATAAAATGAAAATTTGCTGGTAACTCTACATCTCTTTTTAGTATGGCTCACATACCATGTATTACTAAATCTTTTCCAGAGCAATAGCAAACTGAAAAATCTAATTTGAGTTTTACTTCCTTTCATCGTCATACCGTCTGGTAGAAGTACAGATGAATAGGAAGCAGGGAGAAAAACCTGAAGTATAAAAGCCTTCAATCTAACTTTTAACTATAACTTTTAAGTACATAATTTACTTCATGTGTGACATTTGAAAAAGACGCTGATTATTATAGACATTTACTGTTGTAAAATATATGCTATCTGTTAATGAATTGGTGTCAAGAACTGTGAAGGGTTTAAGATTTTTACCCTCTTTGTAAGCTAAGAAGTTAACAAGCAACAGTTTCATGCTGGTAGAAGACATGATACTCCAGAGTCAGAAACAAAAGACAGTTTATTATTCATAGTAATAGTAGCTGGAGTGTCAGCCTTTGGTGGGGGCATTGTTTCCAAAGCCCATTCCCATGGGGTGATATAAAGAGGGTCAGATGATACCTGCACACTCAGTGGATAGGATCACTGAGCTTGGGAACTTTAAATCTTTTCAAATGGATGGGGAGCCTGGTTGGCTTGGTCAGTGGAGCATGTCACTCTTGATCTTAGGGTGGTAAGTTTGGGCCCAATGTTGGGCATAATTACTTAGCAATAAAATTTTTACCAAAAAAGAAAATAAAACTTTTCCACTGGGCAGTAAGCATGCCTGACCTATTCTCCAGGGATGGTATCTGGCCCCAAGGGACATTCTTTCCCTCATAGCAATAATTCAACAGACCCATAGACAGTTGTCTCCCAATAATGGGAAATTTTTGCTTAATAAATATCTTATTCATTATGCAAATTAATAATGTAAACAAGATCACAAGAAATGTTTAAAATACTTGGAGAACCAGGTTTAAATATTTTACTTTTTAAGCACTAATGTACAATTTAAGAAACTTTGAAAATTTTACATTATTGAAAATAAATTAAGGACTTTTACTTAGGATCACTGCTGTTATGCTACATGTTTTTGAAACTAATAAAAGCTCACTTTGAGAATATTCTGAATTTAAAACTCTTAACTTATTCATACTATCTTTTTTCTTTTTAATCTGTACAGGGAGATTCTAATCTGTATTAGGCCATGAAAAAGTTTAGATGTGAAAAATAAAGTTGTTTTTTTTAAGTAAAAGTAAAGTTTTTTTATTGTTTACACCAAACCAAAGTGAACCATTCTGAGAGAACCACCATCTCCGGTTTCCTGAAAGCAAACAAAAAAATTAAATTAAAATCATGTTTAAGTAGAGTACAAATAATTAAAATCATGTTTGAGTACAAATAATTGACTTAATATTTATATCTTTAATATTTTAAATATCAGAAAACATTAAAACAAAAAAATGCACTAAATATATGTACATAAGAGAATTATGTATTTTTCTTACTGTTAAAATATTGATACAGTGTGAATAAAAGTCAGTAGAGAGAAATAACATATGAAGCATAAAAGGCAAAGAAGGAAGGACAGGATATTAGTTGAGATTTCGAAGCATGTGAAGGCTCCTGCAGTGAAAAGTTGCAAACTAGGGGTCGTCATTTGTAATTCTACCTATTACCAATTTGATTTTACAATACTGTCTGTTTTCAAAAGTCCATATAGAACGTATTTCTTCATTTTGGTATTTTATTAAGTATTTGCTAGTGGTTCTTGAGTTAATGTTTCATAGAAAAGATTAGGTTTTTCTAAGCCCTTCATTAAAATATTTTATGAAGCTGCAAAGAGATACAAAGACTTCATCTATTTCCATTTTTTAACTTTCTTTCACTCCCTCCCCCAATCCCATTAAGTATATAAACAATTTTATGGTAGGATTCTGAAATTGGAGGATGTTTAAACATAACACCAAAGGTGAATGATATTATTTGGAAAACAGTACAGTGAAGACATTTTTGAAAGTTTGGAGATAACCTACTTAGACTTGAAAGGTAAAGGAGCCGGGGGGGGCGGTCTTTGGGTGGCTCAGTTGTTAAGTGTCTGCCTTTGGTTTAGGTCATAATCCCAGGGTCCTGGGATCGAGGCCCACATCGGGCTCCCTGGTCAGCTGGAAGCTTGTGTTCCCTCTCTCTCTGTCCTTCTCAGCCAAATAAATAAGTAAAATCTTAAAAAAAAAAAAAAAAAGAACGAAAGAAAGAAAGGTAAAGGGGAACAGTAAAGAGAGTAGGAATGGTGGTTTGTACTTAACATGTCATAATTGGAGACATTTCTTTTATGTAAAAAATATAGTTTTTCCTTAATTATATTTGAAATTTCTTTTTAGTAAGAGAAGCCTTTCAGAAATTTGTCATTTCTAGAAGAAAACAGGTATGGGATTGGCAAGTAAGAGGAACATGTATGTATGCATGTGCCTATGGATCCTGATGTACACAAAATTTAAAAAAAAAAAAAAAACCCAACCTGGAAAAACAGGTAATAAGAAGAATGAGTAATTTAATATTGCCTGAGGCATGTGTGTGTGTGCTGGCAAGTTCAGGGGTTTTAGGTAGCTTTGAATTTTAAAACAAAAAACACTGAAAGCACCAGCATTTTAAAAAAACAAGTTCCAATTCTTGGCTTATAAACTACTCTATAAAAAATCTATCGTGTACATCAGTAGAATGGTCATCAAGAAACCTGGATTTAGCTTTTGGTCTTACTCACTAACTGGCAGAGATCCTAGGTAAATTATTTTATTTTTCTAATATCTGGTTATAATTGTTGTTGGAAGGCCAGATTTTAGATACTCGAAATTTACATATCTGGTTCAGCCATCTTCTTGATGTATATATAGTTAAGAATTACATTTTAAAAAGTAGGAACCTCAGAATTAACTTCTCAAGAATCTCCCAGGACTCAAAAAAAAAAAAAAAAAAAAGTCTCTGAAGCGTTTCCTTAAAAATTCAGCTTATTTTTTAAAAGTCTTACTTCAGGGCATTTCCAGGATTTCCATGATAAATGTGTTTCGTGCTACATAACATTGACTTGTACCTTATTGAACTTAGAGGAATATTTTGATGATTGATGAAATAATGTATTTTGCATATTCATTTATTATTTAAAATAAAGTATATTAATTAAATAGAATTTGGAACACAGAAAAGTAGAAAAATTTACCCATATTCTCACCAGTCTTATAAAACTGTTTACTGAGTATTTGTTTCCAGTCTTTTTTTCCCACGTTTTATTTTTTTAAATATAGTTGAAATCATATTACATACATAATTCTATATATTTTAGAGGGTTTGCCTCACTTTGCACACTTTTTTCAATGCTCCCACAGTCTGTTTTTAATGGCTAAATTTTGTTCCATTAAATACTAGAGCTTTATTTAACTATTCCTTAATTTTTGGTTATATTTATATGGTTCCTAATTTCCTCTTTTTAAAATAATAACTCAGTGATAGACATTCCTTTTTTTTGTGACAGACATTATTAGACATGAAATTTTTTCCGCGTTCAGGATTATTTTCTTGGTATAGAGTTGCAGAAATAGAATTACTGGTGCAAAGCTTAGGAGATTTTAGGCCTCTGGATAAACACTGTAGAACTGGTAGTTTTGCTTTGTTTCTTTCCTGGTTTGGGAGGAGGTTATTTTCTTTGGTAATAGGAAGTAGGGTTTCAGTGGAGATGATCTTCATCTTATTATGTGCTGAGATTGTGCTTACCTTTGACTGAATGTTTACATGTTAATTCCTGTAATAATTTACTGCAACAAAAGGGTTTTCCCCAGACCCTCATTTGATTTCCACATACAGTTATGTGCATTTTTCTAAGCCACACCCTATTGCTGTTACCTAATGTTGGGAGATTGCAGGTCACTCTCTTTTAAATGTACATAGACTTCCCTAAGACAAATTCTGTAGACAAAACCACTTGTTCTGTAGACAAGTTAAGCTTTGCTTTGCTACAGGCCGGATTTTGACCTGTTCCTCACTTAATACAAGTATCTTTTTTTTTTTTAATACTAAGTGATCATCTCATTATTTTATATTGTTTCCCTTCATGGTCTCATTCAGCATTTCTGGTTTGGTTCACCAGTAATTAAATCCCAGAAGTACACTATTTTAGAGATAGAAGCAAGTTTCCTAATTTGCAGTCCTTTCATTTTATAGATGAGGAAACCAAGGTTTATACAGTTTAAGTGTTTTATCCAGAGTTACTCATTCAGTGGCAGAACTGGGGTTAGAATTTAGTCATTTCTCTATGAAGTGCTTTTTTCCACAGTAACAGGGAACATGCTACTTTATGATTAACTCCTATGATTGCCTTTACTTGATATTTAAGGCTCTTGTTTACAGGCTTGCCAGTAGCCCATCCCTGTGTGAGAGGAGATGCTTTATTTTCTTACTTTTTTTTTAAGAGTTATTTATTTTAGAGAGCGAGTACACACGTGTGTTGTGGAGGAGCAGACAGAGGAGAGGATCTTTGAGCAGACTCCCTACTGAACATGGGCCCCCTCACCCCTGCCTCCATGCAGGGCTCCATCCCGCTACCCATGAGATCATGATCTGAGCTGAAACCAAGTCAGTGGCTTAAACCAACTGAGCCATCCAGGTGCCCCCAGGAGATGCTTTCTTGTCCAGTCAAGTTTCCAGTTACTCAAGTTTCACTGTTGACTTTAACTCTGGTTCTTGCATATTTGGTATCATACAGGGATTTTCTTTTAATCGGTATTCCAGAGTTTTGGTGCTTGATGCTTTTTCTAGAAAATGAAATCTTAAATTGCCAATTTAGCAGTTGCCAAAGGTTGGCTTGACACTTCTGATATTTATGAAAGACAGGCTAATAGATAGGCTAACTAATTTTCCAACCTGCTCTGTTAAGTAAACCAGTAGTAAATAAACTTGTCCTTTCACCTTTCCACAGAACTGCCTTCAGTGAATTGTGATTCAGTGTAATTTATTTTTATAGAAGGCTTATAATGAAAATATCTATGTGAATAGGACTTCTTTTTCAAAACTCTACTTGAAGACATGTTTAGTTTTCTAACACAGGCATTCTTTAGTGTGGACCCAGTGCTGGAAAAACATTTCCATCCAGTTGAATTTACTATTTGCATACTTTAAACTATTAAGTCAGTAAAGACAATAGTAATGAATGGTGTTTTGGAGTTTATAAAATGTTTCCACATTACCTAATTTGACATAGCAGTCTTGGGATGCTACTAAATATAACTATTCCCATTTTACAGTTTAGGAAATAGGTATGAAGAGGTTGTAGCTCTGAGGAAATAGTGGAACAAAACTGGAACTGAGATAGTTTGCCCATTAATCCTGCATTCTTTCTTTTTAAAAAAATTTTATTTAAGTTCAATTGAGTTAGCACATAGTATAGTATCTGTTTCAGGGGTAGAATTTAATGATTCATCAGTTGCACATTACATCAAACACCCTCCTTAATGCCCATCACCCAATTACCCTATTGCCCCACCCGCATCCCCTCCAGGGACACTCAGTTTGTTTTGTATTCTTTCTATTATACCATGGTACCTCTCAAAGTAAACCTATTTCCCTTTTTTGCTTTAGCCTTCCCAAATTCAGAGCTAAACTCTGTTTTAATTTGTATGTAACACCCCAGATATTCAACAACACCTCTTACTTTACAAGTTTTAATTGATTTTTGCTTTATGTAATTGTACTGTCGGTATTGTATATAAAATAATTTCGTGAATTCTGCCCCAAATCTTTCAGAAAGTAGAGAGGTCATAAATACTAAGATAAATTGGTTTATATCTATGAAGAATGATCACTGTATTATGGCTGTGTTGGTACTTCTGTTTTCTCTCTAATGGTTTATCTAAATCTCTGCTTTAGGCAATATGTTGATACACTTAAAAACATTTTTTTAAAATTTTTTCTTTGGATGAAAGATGTAAGTATGAGACTAGCACTTACCATATCTCAACAAATATTTGAAGATGTTGTTATCCATCAAGTAGATTAATAAGCTTTATGATAGTAGTATCAATGAACAGAAAACTTGCTATTTTTATCACACTTTTAGAAATTGCATACTTAAACTTCAGTTATAGAAGATGCTCTTTACTAAAGTGGGTAATTGTCAATATGTAAATATATTGATATATATGTGTAAATATGTATGTATATATACACATATGTATGTTTATTATATGTAAATATATGCATATGTTACATATAAAAATGTAAGTATATGAATATATGTATGCATGTATATACATTTATATTACACGTATATGTATATGT